CCGCCTCAGCTCCGCCCGCTCCGGCCCTCGTCGCCACCCAGCCCTGCCCTTTCCTGGTCCTCCCAGCCCTCCCAGGTGGCCTCGTGAGAGCCTCTCACATCCTGATTCAACTAGATGTCCTCCCGGCTCACTCGCACATCACACCCCCACGATCTCTCCATTACTTTTCTCCTTACCGACAGGCTCCTTCCCTCCCCACTTCTGGGGTCTACGAGCATAGTTCTGCGGGGTACCCTCTCCCTCCCGCCTCCACCCCCACCCCCGTCCTCCCGGCCCCGGGACCGCGCCCTAGCCTCTCCGCCCCGCGGCTGACTCGCCTCCCCCCCAACCCTCCCCTCCCCTCAGGCTGCCAGATCATACACCCGCCCTGGGAAGGGGGCATCAGGTACCGGGGCCTGACTCGGGACCAGGTGAAGGCTATCAGCTTCCTGCCCGTGGACTACGAGATTGAGTACGTGTGCCGCGGAGAGCGCGAGGTGGTGGGGCCCAAGGTCCGCAAGTGCCTGGCCAATGGCTCCTGGACAGAGATGGACACCCCCAGCCGCTGTGGTGAGTAGCCTCCCGTGGCCCTCATTGGTCAAGACCATTCCTCTCACTGCCTCCGACTCTAGCGTTACCGTGGGTGAGCCGGCACCTGGACTCCTGCAACTAGTTCACAAACACATGCGCTGCAGGAGGGACTTGCCGTGCGCAGTGAGAGGCCGCGGCCAGCAGCCTGCGCCGTGCCGGTCACCTTTCCTCCCCCAGGCCACCGCACATTGATCCCATAACCTGATTACTCATCTTGTGAGTTTATTCTCTTCAAGGACTATTAGTGGCAGATTATGCAAAAACATTCTAAAATGATTTATCACATTTCCGAATACCTGTCTCTAATGCAGAGACTGCACCCCCAAGAAACAGTCCCGTCTAGCATGAATACAAGCAGGTAAAACACGAAAGGCAAATGTGATTGCATCTAAAGTCACCTGCCTCCTCCCATCTCGCAGCCAGAACCGCCCACCGAAGAGCGCATTTTCCGTGCTTATAGCTCCACCTTGGGTTCCTACGTGGCAGTGCGTCTTCCTTTTCTCCCCTGGGAATGTGTGGGTGCTTCAGGGCTCAGGGGGGCCTGGAAGCCGGAGGCCGATCCCTTTTGCGCTGATTCCCTGCACTGTGCGATGCTGAGCCGCCAGCTCTTTAGGGGCAGGAGCCTTCTTCACCCTGCCTCTCTGTTCATGTCTCTCCGCAGTCCGAATCTGCTCCAAGTCTTATTTGATGCTGGAAAATGGGAAGGTGTTCCTGACAGGCGGGGACCTCCCAGCCCTGGATGGAGCCCGGGTGGATTTTCGGTGCGACCCTGACTTCCACCTGGCGGGGGTGTCCCGCAGCACGTGTAGTCAGGGCCAGTGGAGCAGCCCCAAGCCCCACTGCCAGGGTGAGGGGG